CCGGGGGGGGGGGGGCCCCCCTTGTCCCCCCCCCCCCCAAGCCCCGCAGCGCGGAGGGCGGAGGAGGCGGAGCGCGCCACTCTCCTCAGCCAATCCGCGGTGCCAGCGCGTAGATGGACGGGCGCTGCGGCCAATAGGAGCGCGGGGCGGGGGAGCTCGGCCCGCCCCCCGGGCCGGTATATAGGGGGGCGCCCGGGGGCGGCGGTAGCTGGTACTTGCGTCGATTCCTTGCTTGTCGGGACGAGTAACCAAGCCGCAGCCATGGTGAGGGGAGGGGGCTGGAGAAATGCGGGGTGAGCAGGGATAGACAATGAGGTCCTTGATGGAGAGGGCACGCCTCGGGGGGGGTCACGGCACTCCTGGGGTGGTCGCACGTGGTCTCCGGTAGCCCACCGGTGGGGGCGGGGTCAGCCCGACCGTTACCGTTCCCGCGCGCGGGAAGGCGCGCGGCGGGGGGACAGCCCCGAGCCCTGGACCCCCCCCAACCTCACCCCCCCCACCCTAAGCACGAAATTCCCTGTTTTCTCCCCACCCGAGCCCCTGGGCTGGTCCCGCTCCATGGCTCCTGGGGGGGGCTCATGGGGGTCGCCCTCCGCTCCGGATCCCCCCCAAACCCCGGGCTCCGGGGAATGCGCGGAGCAGGTGGCGCGGGGCAGGGAGCGGCCGGGAATGTGCGCGACCCCCCGGGGGTGACGCCATCGGCCCATCCCCGCGGTTTCGGGTCAGCTGGTGCAGTCCCGGCCCCGCTGCTGCGCTCTGTGCTTCCTCTTCCTCCTCCTCCTCCTCCCGACCTCGCCCTGCCCAGGCTGCCCGGCTGGAAAATGTCCTCCCTGGGCGCCATTTGGGAGCAGATGGTGGCAGCTGCGGGGTGGTGGGACCCCCAGAGGCTGCCCACAGGTGGCTGCAGTCTGTTCCCAAACACGGATGTCACCCCATGGCTCCCTCCTCGGATCCTGGGTGGCCCCAGAGAAACTCAGCCACTCGCTGGGGTGGCACAACTGGGGTTTGGGAGTGCTGAGCTTGAGCCCCTGTGAGATCCCTTCATCCCCCCGAGGGCAGGGTAGCAACTCGCAGGAGGGGCAGGATGGGACCCTCGGAGCTGAGCACACTCTGCACTGGAGCTGTTCCCTGGGCTATGGGGGTGTCCCTGTCAACATCAGAGCCAGGGAAGGAGGAGATTTGGAATAGTGGGGACCAGCAATAATCCTGAGGAACCCCAATTCCTGGCTCTGGGGTGTGTAGGGTGAAGGGCACCAAATGGTGCAGGGTATCAGCTCCTGGGGAGTTGGAGCAGGATGGGACCACCACAGCTGAGCAGAGTGGGTGCATCCGGGCAGGATCTGGCCCCATCCAGCCTTGGGGAGAGACCCTCCCCAGCTGGGTGCCAGCGTGGTGCGTGCCGGGGTGGGACAGAGAGGGGACAGAAGAGGTGACCCAGTGGCGTGTGCCCCCGCAGCGCGAGTGCATCTCCATCCACGTGGGCCAAGCGGGCGTGCAGATCGGCAATGCCTGCTGGGAGCTGTACTGCCTGGAGCACGGCATCCAGCCCGACGGGCAGATGCCCAGCGACAAGACCATCGGCGGGGGGGACGACTCCTTCAACACCTTCTTCAGCGAGACGGGCGCCGGCAAGCACGTGCCCCGGGCCGTGTTCGTGGACCTGGAGCCCACGGTGATCGGTGAGCGCGCGGGGGGCGGCCGGCCGGCGGGGCGGGCGCTGGCGGCGGGCGCCGGCTGCTAACGGGGCCCGGGGCTGTCCCCGCAGACGAGGTGCGCACCGGGACGTACCGGCAGCTCTTCCACCCCGAGCAGCTGATCACGGGCAAGGAGGATGCGGCCAACAACTACGCCCGCGGGCACTACACCATCGGCAAGGAGATCATCGACCTGGTCCTTGACCGCATCCGCAAGCTGGTGAGTGTCCTGTGGGGTCTCACCCTGCGGGGGATGTGGGGACAAAGGGAAGCTCCAGGTGTCCCTGGGCAGGTGCTTCTCAGCCCATCAGTGCTTTGGGGCAGAGAGTGGGGTCGTGCAAGGAGAGACCTCCTACCTTCCTGGTGAGACCTGCATGACCCCTGTTGTGCCTCCAGGATCTGGATGGATTTGTTGTGGGTCATGTGTCAGCCTGCAGCACATCCTGGCTCCCTATGGGGTCTGGATCCTCTGACTGATCAGGATCAGCCCCTTCCCCTTGACCCGAATCCCTTTTCTTAGGCCTCTGCAACCCCACTAGCACAGGGTGTGAACCCTGTGCATGGCATATTCCAGGGGTGTGATACAGCTTGTTGGATTCTGTGTCATTTCTGTCCCTGGGAAAACCTTATTTCATCCCTTTTTTAAGGTCATGTGAGGTTTCTCCTTGATCTGGATGCTGATCCTGCTTGACCAACTGCTTATGAGCAGCTGTGCTGAGTATTTAACTCTTGCTGGGGCAGCGCTAGTGGATTGCCCCTTCCCTCAAGCAGATTGTTGGGGTCATAGGAGGAAGCAGCTGAAGGGAAGGGGCAGTTAGGGGTCCCTTCTCCTGAGGGCAGGTCATGCTGAATCACAGGGTGCTGTGGATGGAAGTGGAATGGACAGAGGTGCCCCCAAAAGTTGAGATATTTGGGGGACATATGTGTCTTCCTGGGCAACTCAGCAACTTCAGTAGCAGCTGAAGTTCAGAATTCCTGACAGTTTGCTCTTGTTTTCCCCTTCCCACCTCGCAGGCTGACCAGTGCACAGGGCTGCAGGGCTTCCTGGTGTTCCACAGCTTTGGCGGTGGCACCGGCTCTGGCTTCACCTCCCTGCTCATGGAGCGGCTCTCTGTCGACTACGGCAAGAAGTCCAAGCTGGAGTTCTCCATCTACCCGGCCCCGCAGGTGTCCACGGCCGTGGTGGAGCCCTACAACTCCATCCTCACCACCCACACCACCCTGGAGCACTCCGACTGCGCCTTCATGGTGGACAACGAGGCCATCTACGACATCTGTCGCCGCAACCTGGACATCGAGCGTCCCACCTACACCAACCTGAACCGCCTCATCAGCCAGATCGTGTCGTCCATCACGGCCTCGCTGCGCTTTGACGGAGCCCTGAACGTCGACCTGACAGAATTCCAGACCAACCTGGTGCCCTACCCCCGCATCCACTTCCCGCTGGCCACCTACGCCCCGGTCATCTCTGCTGAGAAGGCTTACCACGAGCAGCTCTCGGTGGCCGAGATCACCAACGCCTGCTTCGAGCCGGCCAACCAGATGGTCAAGTGTGACCCTCGCCACGGCAAGTACATGGCGTGCTGCCTGCTGTACCGCGGGGACGTGGTGCCCAAGGATGTCAACGCCGCCATCGCCACCATCAAGACCAAGCGTAGCATCCAGTTCGTGGACTGGTGCCCCACTGGTTTCAAGGTGGGCATCAACTACCAGCCGCCCACGGTGGTGCCCGGCGGCGACCTGGCCAAGGTGCAGCGCGCCGTGTGCATGCTGAGCAACACCACGGCCATCGCCGAGGCCTGGGCCCGCCTGGACCACAAGTTTGACCTGATGTACGCCAAGAGGGCGTTCGTGCACTGGTACGTGGGGGAGGGCATGGAGGAGGGCGAGTTCTCGGAGGCCCGTGAGGATATGGCTGCCCTGGAGAAGGATTATGAGGAGGTGGGGGTGGATTCTGTGGAAGGGGAGGGAGAGGAGGAAGGGGAGGAATACTAAACGCTGGGTTCCTTCTGTCACTGTCGCATGTCCACGAAATGTCTGCTTCAAACACTTGAGCTTCCTTGTGCACTTCGTGGGGTTTGGCCCCGTGGGCTCGGCCAGGGATATGCTGCCCTCTCGGATGTGATCATGCAGATTTTCCATGTGTCTGTATCGTGTCTGTGAATAAAAGGCTTTAAGAGAAGCTACACTGTGTCGGATACAAACTCTCTGTGTCAGTGCCCGCTCTCCCCCGGGCCGGCTGGCCCCATCCCATGGGAACAGACTGTCCCTATTGTCTTTGCCCAGTGAGGCAGCTGGCATGGTACTGCTGTTACCCGAGCTGCCCAGCCCATCCCTCTGCAGAGCTGGGCGGGGTGAGGACCCCACATCGCTGCCTTCCATAGGGTGTGGCCTCACCCTGGGTTCCGCTGTGCTTCTTCATGAGCTATCGCTGATCCCCCCCAGGGGGGCCGTGCCCTGCCGGGTGCCCCCAGCGCTCGGGAGCCCAGCCCAGCCCCCCGCGGTGATTACCGCGCCCGGGATTAGCCGCGTTCCGGTTTTAGCTCCATCCCTGCTCCTAATCCCGGGGGGCTGCGCTGGGGCCGCCGGCCCGTGGGAGCGGCGGGCGGGCTCAGCCTATCAGCGCGCGGCGCGCCGCGCTTTCACCAATGAGCTTCGCCTCATTCAAGCCCCGGAGCCAATGGGCGGCAGGGGGCGGGGCCTGCCGGGCTCTTTCAGGCCGTGGGGGCGCGGATACTTTGTAACTGCGAGAGGGGGCGGGGCCACGGGAAGGGCGGGGCCACCCACGGCGGCGCTGGGCCGGACCCGGCGGGCTCAGAGCGGCGATTCCCGGCGGTACCGGAGCGGCTGGACCGGCCTGGCGGTACCGGCCTCGGCGTCCTGCCCCTGCCCGTGGCAGCCCTGCCCGGCCCTGCCATGCTGGCCGTAGAATGGCCCCTGTGGAGCAGGACGCGCTGGCCGTGCGGGAGCAGCTCTTCCACGAGAGGGTCCGCGAGTGCATCGTGAGTGAATGGGATTGGCGGGCGGGGAAGGGGCTCGGTGTGGCGGGGAGAGCTGGGAGGGCGGCTGGGAGCTCGCAGCTCTCCGTGGGACAGTCGGGATCGCCGGTGGCAGCTCCACGGCCCGGCTGTGGCAGGGCTCCACACCCCGTGCTTATCGGGGCCAGGGCCGCCGGGGCTGCGTGTGCCCGGCAGATAGCGGGGACCCAGGGCTGGACCCTGCCGAGCCCCTGCCGCGACCCCTCTGCCGGCTCCAGCAGTCCCTGCTGCGCTCCCGTCGTGCTGGGAGTGCTGGGCTGTGCCGGTGTCAGAGCCGGGCCAGCCCCATGCCAGGCTCCTGGCTCTGTCCTTGTCCCCAGGCCAGCAGCTCGGGGTCAGCAGGACTCTACAGAGCTCCCTAAACCTCGGGTACCGCAGAGGGACACAGCTGGGTTTGCTCCTCTGCTCCTGCTGCCACAGGCTCAGGGATGGGGATGACATGGATGTCCCAGTCCTGGCATCTCCTAAAGGCCTTGGCACGGCAGCCCAGTGGGCTGTGACTGGCAGTGCTGAGGCTACCTTGCCACAGCCACATTCGGTGCCTACAGGGAGGAGCTGGTGGCCAAAGCCTGGCAGCTCTGCCCTGGAGCCCCCCAGACCTCCATTCCAGGGAGCTGCATCCCAGCCAGGAGCCCCTGGCTTGGCACACAAAACGTATTTAGCCCAATTTCACTGAGTACAGGAGGAGTTGGGGGTCCCCCCACCAGGCAGAGCATTGGTCTGTGGGGTACAGCCCATGGCAGGAGGGAACTGTGACCTGAGACCCTTCACCGGATGGGAGCAGCAGCAGAAGGACCTGCTGGGTACTGCCCTTCTGGGCCAGCTCTGGGGGCTCCCTGCCCCCCCACGGGCAGACCCTGGGCACCCTCAGGCAGAGCTCAGAGCACCCCCAGGCAGGCAGAAGGGAGGTGCCACCGCTGCTCCCCACTGCACCTGTGCCAAGGTGGAGGATCCAGGCGACCTTTCCTCGTCCTGACGCGTATCCAGAGGGATGAAAGGTCGCCGTGTTCCCTGAACATCTCCTGCGCTGTTCCAGCGGGGGCAGCAGGGACACCGCTGTTCCAGCGGGGGCAGCAGGGACGGCTGTTCTCGTGGCTCTGCCAGCAAGGCCAGGGCTGTGGGATCGGATAGTTCAGGGATGTCCCACGGGGTCACAGATTTGCCAGCACAGGCTGATCCAGATCTTCTTGGGTGGGGTCTCAGCCCCCTCCCCCCAGCCTGGGTGCTGTGCCAGTTTGTGGGCACCCATGTGTGAACGCTGGGTGCAGTCCCCATTGAACAGATAGGTCTGAGCACCGCAGATGTCCTTGGCGCCTGATTCAAGGCTGTTCTCGTGGCTCTGCCAGCAAGGCCAGGGCTGTGGGATCGGATAGTTCAGGGATGTCCCACGGGGTCACAGATTTGCCAGCACAGGCTGATCCAGATCTTCTTGGGTGGGGTCTCAGCCCCCTCCCCCCAGTCTGGGTGCTGTGCCAGTTTGTGGGCACCCATGTGTGAACGCTGGGTGCAGTCCCCATTGAACAGATAGGTCTGAGCACACGGGTGGGGTGTAACCAGGGCCAGGAGTGGAAAAACAAATAGGGTGGAGCTGACAAGCCCCAGGGCTGGCAGCATCACTGGGGTAGAAGCTGGGGTAGGGGAGCTGCCCTCAGGGCATGCCCACACTCCTCTGCCCGCAGATCTGTGCCCTGCTCTTCGCCAGCCTCTACATCCTCTGCCACTTCATCATAACCCACTTTAAGAAGCACACGGATTTCACAGCAGGTAAGAGAGCGGGAGCTGCCAGAGCCAGGCAGCCCTTGAAGCCACATTCAGCCTCCCCAGGGTTCTTCCTCTTCCTCCATTGCTTTTGCCTCCCCCAGCAGCCCCAGTCCCACCACAGCCTGACTGTCCTGACACCAATCGCTGCCCTAGGTGGGAACAAAGCCAGAAATGGGAGGATTTCTGTAGGATTTGGAGTGGGGAGAACTTGGGCAGGGGGAGGCAGCTATGCTCTGGGCAGCCGTACCTCCCCCAGTCCTTTGCTTTGGGATTTTGTCCCCACAGTTCACGATGACGAGGATGCTGCTGTCAACAGGATTGCGTAAGTTCCTGCTTGTCCCCTTCCCTGGTGCTCGGCCTCTTCCTCAGCCAGAACACCATGTCCTGTGGGTGCTGGTGATGCTGGGGGGCAGAGCTGGGCTGTGACACCCAGAGGAACCCTGACCCTGCTTGTCCCTGTGGCAGGTTGGGGCTCTGTACCTTCACCCTGGCTGTGGCACTGGGTGCTGTCCTCCTCCTGCCCTTCTCCATCATCAGCAACGAGGTGCTGCTCTCCTTCCCCCAGAACTACTACATCCAGTGGCTCAACGGGTCCCTCATTCATGGTGGGTGCACAGGGTGACCCTGGGGTGTCCCCAAAATCTGTGGGTCAGGGTTGCCCTGCCTGGGAGCTCACCCCATGCTGTTCCCCTTCTTCCAGGCCTCTGGAATTTGGTTTTCCTCTTCTCCAATATGTCCCTGGTCTTCCTCATGCCCTTTGCCTACTTCTTCACCGAGTCAGAGGGGTTTGCAGGATCCAAGAAGGTGGGTGATCCTTCACTTGTCCCCCCTGTCCCCCTTCTCTGTGACTCCCTGCTAACCCAGCTCCTGCAGGGCATCATGGCCAGGGTGTATGAGACGTCGGTGGTGCTGCTGCTGCTGACGCTGCTGGTGCTGGGCATGGTCTGGGTGGCCTCTGCCATCGTGGGCAACGACGCTGCCAGTCGCCAGTCACTCTACGGTGGGTGAGCTGGGCTCTGCCTGCTCCAGGATCAGACCCTGGCACTGAGTGGAACGAGGGATCTCTGGTGCCACTGGCCTGATCCTGCTGTCTCTGCAGATCTCTGGGAGTATTATCTGCCCTACCTCTACTCCTGCATCTCGCTTTTTGGTGTCCTGCTGCTGCTGTGTAAGTTGTGCCCCCCCACGAGGCCCTGCTGGTGCTCCATCCAAATGGGGTCTGGAGGGGCCATGACTCATGGCTGAAGCCTCCAGGATCCTTCTGAGGGTGTGGGGAGGGGTAGGATGGTGGAGCACCTCCTGTTCAGCCTCTCCTTCCACCACAGTGTGCACCCCCTTTGGCCTCTCCACCATGTTCACTGTCACTGGGAAGCTGCTGGTGAAACCCCGGGTAAGGCATCACCCCACAATCCCTCTGCCCAGCTTTGGGGGTGACAGCCCCCAGGGCTGCCTGGTCACCCACCATGGGCACGGGGAGCCATTCACACACCCCAGCAGCCACTCACAGGCTCCTTATCCTCCCCCAGCTCCTGGAAGACCTGGATGAGCAGCTGAGCTGCACGAGGTTTGAGGAAGCCGCTGTGTCCCACAGGATCCGCTCTGGTGGGTGCTGCTGCTTGGCAAAGGGGAGCACAGAGTGGATTGGGGGGCCCTCTACCCCACCACACAGGAGCTCTCATCCCCCCCTGAGCCCCTTGGGTCTTCCCAAGCAGGCAAAGCTTCCTGCTGGCTGAATCTGGACATGGAGATGCTGCGGGAGCAATTCTTTGCCATCCGGAGCAAGAGGAGGAAGCTGGGTGAGGAGCCTGGCAGGGAGAGGGGACACTGGGTGCCCTCCAGCCTGGCAGGGGGAGGGGACACTGGGTGCCCTCCAGCCTGGCACTGGGAGCACTGGTCCCTGGCAGTCCATGCTCTGTGGAGGGAGGGTGGCTGGGAGATGGGCTGGGGGTTGTTATCCCCCAACCTTGGCACTTTGGGGCCCCCTCAACCTCCTGCCCTGGGGTGGGAGCTGTGCTCCCCTCTCACTGGGCACATCCTCCTCACAGAGCTGCGGCACCGAGCATCGCCCTGGCAGAGGAACCTGGGCTACCCCCTGGCCATGCTGGGCCTCCTGGCACTGACAGTGAGTGGCCCTGGGCTCCCAGGGGAGCTGGGGGTTGTCCCCATCCTCACCACTGCCCTCACTCCCTCCCTGCTCCTCCCAGGGCATCTCCGTGCTCATCGTCTGCTTCCACGTCCTGGAGCTGCTGCTGGACGATGCCGCGATGCCACGGGGCATCCAGGTACCCGGCTGGGGGCATGGGACAGCTCAGGGTCGTGTCCCTGACTGCTCTGGGGACATTCCTCCCCAACCTGCTCCCTCCTCTTCCTGCAGGATGCCTCCCTGGGCCAGGTTTCCTTCTCCATCTTTGGTTCCTTTGGAGCTGCACTGCAGGTTGTCCTCATTTTGTATCCTTCAGGCGGGCACTTGTGTCCCCAGCGATGTCCCCTGTGTCCCCAACACTGTTCCCAGCGCCAGCCCATCCTGTTTTCCTCCTTAACACTCCTTGCAGCTACCTAATGCTCTCCTCTGTCGTGGGCTTCTACAGCTCCCCCCTGTTCACTCGGCTGCTGCCGGAGCGGCAGGACACCCCCCTCACCAAGGTGGGAGCAGCAGGACGGGGCTGGGGGGCTCCTGTGGGGGTGCAAGACCCTGTTCCCCACAGTGTGTGTCCCTGTGCAGTCCCCACGTGGGAGGACAGTGCCAGGCAGGACCCCCCAGTGGTTCCCTGTCAGGCTGGGGGTTCCCTGCAGCAGCAGTGCCCCCCCAAACCTCCTCCTCCTCCCCAGATCATCGGGAACTGTGTCTCCTTGCTGGTGCTCAGCTCAGCACTGCCCGTCTTCTCCAGGACACTGGGTGAGCCTCCCAGAGGGATCAGGGTGATGCCTGGATGGGAATGGCCCCAGATTTGGGGTGCCCTGACCAATGTACCTCACCCTGTGCAGGGATCACCCGTTTTGACCTCCTGGGGGATTTTGGCCGCTTCAACTGGTTGGGGAACTTCTACATCGTCTTCCTCTACAACATGGGCTTTGCTGGGCTCACCACGCTGTGCCTGGTCAAAAGGGTCTCCTGGGCAGTCCAGGCCGAGCTCATCCGTGCCTTTGGTGAGGACAGGGACACGGGAGTGGCTGCTGGGGTGTCCCGTGCCCCCCAGCCTGGCTCTCACACTCTCCCTGTATCCAGGTCTGCACAAGCTGCCGCTGCCCGTGACGCGCTGCCGGACCCGCAGCAAGCCCTGCTAGGGCTGGGGGGACAGGGACGTGTCCCCCCTCTCACTGTGGTGGCCACCAGGGTGGCTGCCAGCCACAGAGCTGGCCCTGATAGCTCCTGGTGCCTCAGGGACATCAGAGCCCCTCAGGGAAAGCTGAGACACCTTTGGGGGTTGCCTCCCCTGCTCTGTCTCAGCTGTTGTGCTACTGAGCCTTGGCCTTGAGCCACATCCCCAAGGGGAGCGGGGTCCCCCCGAGGCTGTGCTGGCTGCAGCCCCCTCACCCCCATTTACATACCTCGTGCAACAATGGCCAGGCCCTGCCCCGACCTCCCCTGGCTGCTCCCTGGGGTCTGGCTGAGTTTTAAATGCTGCCCCACCTGTCCTGACACTGTGGAAGGGGGTCCTGTGCTCAGAGCCACTCCACACTCCACCCCTCTGTCACTCTGGGGCTGTAGGGGGACACTGGTTGTCCCCTGCCCACCCCTGAGGTCTTTGGGGTCCCTAATAGGGGACAGCCCCCCTCTCCAGCTGCTTGATGTGATGAGTATGTCAGGTCTCTGTTACAACAGAACTTGTTTGGAGAAATAAATAGTGACTGGTTTTTATATAAAAATGCTTGAATGTGGGGGTTTTATTCCTCCCGAGGGCAGGGCCGAGTAGGAAGGGGGCAGGGGCGGGGTGTCCCTGCCTTGGGGGGGGTCACAGTCCTGCCCCTCCTTATGGCCCCTATGGGGCCATAATTAACGCTCTTCCTGGTTGGGGTTAACGAGCTTCTTCCAGGCAAGGGCAGCTCCCTGCCCACTGCCCGGGCTGGGCTGAGGGACCCCGGGGGTGTTGGGGGGCTCCGGGAGGCTTCGGGCTATGGGCTGAGTCCCCCACGTGAGGGGCAAAGCAGAGGCTTCACCTCCTGGCACGGAGGGTCGTGCAGCCGGAGCGGAAACTGCCCCGGGAACCGGCCCCCCACCCATCCTGCCCCGGCTGGGGCCGAGCCAGGCCGCCCCCCGCCCCTCCATGGCGGGGGTGGGGGGCCCAGGCCCCCCCTCGCCCCCTCCCGCGGCTGGGGCCGAGCAGGAAGCACAGGAAACCTGGTTTATATTGCAGGAAATGAGGCCATCGGTGCCCGCGATTTCCCCGCGACCTGCTCCCCTCCCAGTCACCCCGGGCTGGCACCGGGGCTGCGGGGAAGCTGTGGGGGGGCCGGGACCCCCGCCTCGACCCACTCCCAACCTTCCAGCACCCCGCTGCTGCCTCCAGCCCTCGCCGGGGCCCGCAGTGCCTTTGGGTGCTTTGCCGGGAGCGCTGGGGTGCTGCGTCCGGGACACGGTCCCGGTCCCGGTCCCGGGGGTGCCCCGCTCCTGGAGGCACTGCTGGAGCCCGGTGTCAGCCCCGGAGCCCGGTGCCAGTCCCGGAGCAGCCCAGCCCCATCCTCAGCGGTACCTGGACCCCTGGCGGAGCCCGGTGCCTCTCCGGGGGTGTCCCGGTCCCGGGGCGCGGAGGGGCCGGCCGAGGCAGGGCAGCCCGGCGGGGGCGGCCCCGGGGGATGTGGCCGCCGCTGCCGCCGCTGCCGGGGGCCGGCTCCGAGGCGGGGCCCGACGGGGCTGCCCAGCTCCGGAGCCGAGCGGCCACGGTGGGGGCAGCCCGGCCGGGGCGGCTGAGGGCGGCGCACGGTGCCGAGCAGCACCCAAGGCAGCCGGTACCGGGGGCTGGGCCAGGAACGGGGACCGGGACCGTGGGTCGGACCGAACAGAGGGGACCGGGGTAGCGCCAGGGAGCGGGTCAGGGGAGCGGGGCTGTGCCAAGGGGACGGAGCAGGTGCGGACAGCGGCGGCACAGCCTTAGAATAACGAGGGTCCCCGGTGCGAGGGGCAGCGGGAGGAGGAGAAGGACCGGGACTGGGAGAGGGGGTCCCCGGTCCCAACAGGCCATGACAGGAGAGGTCCCAGGACCAGAACCGCGGCGTTCGGATGGGATAAGGGGGGGTTTCGGTACCGGAGTGCAGTGCAGGGACCGTGGAGAGGAGGCGGCACCAGAGCGAGGGGTTTAGACGGGAAGGGGGAGCAAGACTGAGATCCCGGTGCCGGTCCCGGCGCAGCCTTAGGAGCCGGGTGCCCAGTGCCAGTGCCAGGGCAGTGCCCGGAGCTGGGTGCCGGTGCCCGGTGCTGGGACGCCGTTCTGCGAGGGCTTTCCCTAAGGCTGGGGCTGTGTCGGGGGCTTCCCGTGACCGGGCTGCAGGCGAGGGGGTGCTGATACCGTGGGCGCGCAACCGGCGGCGCTCCGAGTGGGTGGCGGCACCGGCGGGGGGGGGGGCCCCTGGCCTTCCACGGGGGGGTACGGGGGGGGGGGGTCAGTCATCCCGAGCGGCCACGGATCCCGCAGCAGCGACGGGACCGTGGGTGTGAGAAGGAAACGGAGCCGACCCGCCCCTGGCACCGCGACCATCTAAAAGCCCCGGGGCCACCACACCGGGACCATGCCCACCCCAGCCGCCCGTGCCCCCGGCGACTGAGCGGGACCCGCGGAGGCAACGGGGCCCGGCGGGCGGGATGCCCCGGTGGAGGCCGCTCGCCCTCGTCCTGCTCGGGCTCGCCGCCTGCCTGCTGGCCGCGCCGGTGCTGGGCTGCGGCCCGGGTCGGGGCCCGGTGGGGCGGCGGCGGCTGGGGCGGCGGCAGCTTTCGCCTCTGCTCTACAAGCAGTTCGTGCCCAACGTGCCCGAGCAGACGCTGGGGGCGAGCGGGAAGGCGGAGGGCAAGGTGCTGCGGGGCTCGGAGCGCTTCAGGGACCTGGTGCCCAACTACAACCCCGACATCATCTTCAAGGACGAGGAGAACACGGGGGCGGACCGGCTCATGACCGAGGTGGGGGCTGCGCCCGGCCCGGCCCGGTCCGGCCTCGCTCCCGGGGGCGCGGGGGCGCGGAGGCGGCGGGGGGATGGGCGGGATCACAGCGACCCTCGACAGGGCTCATGGACCTTTCTCAGTCGACGCGCTCAGGGGCTCACGGAGCTTTCCCCGTCGCCACCGATCCTCTCCAGGGCGCACCGATCATCCCGGGGCTTACGGATCCTCCCGAGTGGCACCGACCCTCCCTGGGAGCACGGAGCCTCCCGGGGCACAGGGTCCCTGCCGGGGCCGCCCGGTACCTCAGCCCGGTGTCCCGCTCCCTTCTGTTGTTGATTCGGGACCGTCGGGGATTAACGGGACGGGATGGCACCGAGGGCACGATGAACCGGCGGCTCCACTCCCCCAGCGCCGCCGCGCCCCGGCTCCAAGGACAGCGCGGAGGGGGAGGCCCCGGTACCCCTCTGCTCGGGGGGAATCCGGGGCGGCGGGAGCCCGGGACGCGCCGCGCGCCCGTCGGGATGCTCACGGTTGCCATGGCGAGGGGCGGCCCCGCGGTTGCCATGGCGACGGGGGATGCTGCGAGTGGTCCAGGCGGCGCCGGCAGCTCCCGCGAGCCGGGACGGCGGAGGCGGCGGGGCCGGGGCGGCGGAGCCCGGCGGAGCCGCGGGCGCGGAGCCGGCCCGGGGTGCGGGTGGCTGAAAGGGCCCTTTGTGGCCGCGGCGGCATTCCCGGGGCCTGAGGTCAGCTCCGGGCTGGAAGGCGCCTATTGTGGCCGGGCCGGGCCGGGCCGGGCCGAGCGCATTCCTGCCCCCCCGCCGCCCCGGGCCCGCGCCCCGCACTGCCGCCCCCGCGGCCCCGCGGTCCCGGGAGCCGCTTTGTTGAACGGGGGAGGGGGGGGACACTGGGGCACTGAGGGACGCTGTGACCTCAGCGGCTGCGGGGGGGGGGACGACGGGAGCAACTCCGACCCCGGCACCCCACTGCTGATGGGGAGAGGGACCCCAGAACCGCCCGGGACCCCCTACTCTCCCTGTCAGCCCAGACTCGGTGCTGGTTCAGGGTCAGCTGCCCCCAGCTCTGCTTCACAGCCCCCCCACCAGGTTAATGAGTCACGGCCGTGGCCGCGGGGAAGGTGACACCGTCCCGGTGCCCTTCCTGGTCCCTTGCCTGTTCTGCCCGGCTGCCCGTGCAGCAGCTCCACCACGGGACCCCGGGGCGCGTTAACGTTCAACCCGCATCCAGCCAGGGGGGCAGCTTGGCCCTGACCCTCTCTGCACCCTGGGGGGGCACCCCATCTGCCCCCACAGCACCCCCTTCGGCTTTGCAGGCCTGGTGTCTGTCTGTCCCTGTCTGTTGTGGGGAGGGTGACACCGGTGTCCCCACAGCGCTGCAAGGAGCGCGTGAACTCGCTGGCCATCGCGGTGATGAACATGTGGCCGGGGGTGAAGCTGAGGGTGACAGAGGGCTGGGACGAGGACGGCCACCACCTCCCCGACTCTCTGCACTACGAGGGCCGGGCGCTGGACATCACCACGTCCGACCGTGACCGCCACAAGTACGGCATGCTGGCACGCCTGGCCGTGGAGGCCGGCTTCGACTGGGTCTACTACGAGTCCAAGGCACACATCCACGTCTCTGTCAAAGCAGGTACCACGCAGAAGGGGCTGCCACCAGGGCAGGGGGCTGCCATGCCCATAAACATCCCAGCCCACGGCCCCTGCTGGTCCCCCTTGACGTCCTGGATCCGTGTGGGATTATTGCTCTGGTTGGTGTCCGGCCCCAGCTCGGCTCTCCCTGGTTTACCTGGCTCCCTGATTGGCAAAAACCTCACTTTCCCTTCCAAATTTTGGCCAGAAGGAGACAACGTTGTGGCTCAGCTCCTGGTGAGGGGAATAGCAATGCAGCCCCCAGCCCCACAGCCCCAAAGTTGCTCAGCCAGCAGCTGCCACCCAGTCCAGAAGTGCCAACTGACAGAAAGTGAAAATGGCCATAAATGTCACCGTTGGAGCCCGGAACAAAGGCCGTCAGTGCAGGGTGGACAAAGGGGCCCTGCAGCATTCAGGAGCCACACGCAGGAACTGGGGGAGCTTTGGAAAATACCCGCTTTGTTCCGGGGGTGGTTTGGGGGTCCTGGGGTTGCCGTTTCCCCTCTGGAGGTGGAGGTGGCCCGGTGGGGACACCAACAACTCTCTCCATCCTCCCAGATAACTCGCTGGCCGTCCGCACCGGCGGCTGCTTTCCCGGCCACGCCACCGTGACGCTGCAGAGCGGCGAGCACCGGGGCCTGGCAGAGCTGCGCCAGGGTGACCGGGTGCTGGGCGCCGAGCCGGGCGGGCGCCTGGTGCCCACCGAGGTGCTGCTCTTCCTCCACCGGGACCTCGGCCAGCGTGCCTCCTTCGTGGCCATCGAGACGGCCAGCCCAGCTCGCCGGCTGCTCCTCACCCCGTCCCACCTGGTGTTCGCCGCCCGCGGGGTGGGCAACGGCTCCGCCGCCTTCCTGCCCATCTTCGCCCGCCGCGTGCGCCCGGGCGACGCCGTGCTGGCCCACGGGGCCGGCGGGCAGGGGCTGCGCCCCACGCGGGTGCTGAGGGTCTCTCGGGAGGACGGCGTGGGGGTCTTTGCCCCCCTCACCTCCCACGGCACCTTGCTGGTTAATGGGGTGCTGGCGTCGTGCTACGCCGTCCTGGAGAGTCACCGCTGGGCACACCGGGCGTTCGCCCCCCTCCGCCTCTTCCA